GCCTCCTGTATGAGGGGAACCCCATGGCCTTCATAATGGAACAGGCCGGGGGCCTGGCCTCCACCGGCCTGCAGGACATCCTGGACATCCAGCCGCAGAGCCTGCACCAGCGGGCGCCGGTGGCCATGGGCTCCGCCGAGGACGTGCTGGAGTACGTGGCCATCTGCAAGAAGCACGCCAAGAAATAGGAAATAGGAGCCGTCGCCACGGCAACGCCGCCAAAAAATATATTTAAAAAAAAAAAACGTCTTCTGTCTCCAAACTCTGCTTTTCCCAAGGAGAACCGACACCGGACAAAACATCCTGAAGGATTCTGAAATGTGAAAAGGTTGTTTTTTTTTTTTTTTAAAGTGACTGCAGGAAGCCAAGGATGGATATCCAAGTCGGCCATTTTGATTAGGTCACCAATAGGAAGATCCCAGGCAAGAAAATCCTAATTGCTTCATGGCAATATAGACGTTAATTTAAAGATAGTAAAATGTATCTTGTATTAGTTAGAGTTAGCCTAGGATGTATATACAACACCCCCCCACGTCCAGGTCGGCCATTTTGGTTAGGTCACCAATAGGAAGATCCCAGGCAAGAAAATCCTAATTGCTTCATGGCAATATAGACATTAATTAAAAATAGTGAAATTAATCTTGCAAACACTGAATTAAACTCTATACATAATATTATGTTAAAATAGTCGATGTTAAATAGGTTTGTACAATAAGTCCAAACAAGTTTAAACAAAAAAAATATTTATTTCTCACAATTATGAAGGGTGGAGGGTTAGGGTCAGGGTTGGGGTCAGGTTTAGGAATTGGGTTAGGGTTAGGAATTTGGTTAGGGTTAGGAATAGGTTTAGGGATAAGGTTAGGTTTAGGGTCAGGGTAAGGTTTAGGAATTGGGTTAGAATTAGGAGCAGGGTCAGGTTAGGGTTAGGGTCAGGGTTAGGTTTAGGGATAGAGTCAGGGTTAAGGTCAGGGTTAGGTTTAGGATCAGGGTTAGGTTGGTTAGGGTTAGAACATCGTTTATCTTCCGATTTCGTATAGAAAATAAAGTTTCGTTTCCACCTCAGAAAGCTGCTAGTCACATGACCTAATCAAAATGGCCGACTTGGATATGGGAGGAGTCTGATATCCAATCGAGGCTCCTACAGACTCCAGCAGTCGATTATGGAGCTACAAGGTTTTTTTTTGTTTTTTGGTTAATTTCTTTAAAGCTGAATGTGTTTTTAGAAAGCTGATAGAAGACGGTGTTTGGATGGAAATGTGAAAACATTTATTAAATAAGCTGATCCTCCAGGAAAAACTACCAAAGACCATAAAATGTGCCAAAAGGCAGATAGCTAGTGCCTTAAATATACATGACTTGATTCATTTTCCTCCTCAGTTTACCATAATTGTGCCTTTTATTGCATTATAACCCGTTCTGACTCATTAATGAAGTGATGAAGTCTAAATAAACAGACTTGAGTCTGAAGTGTGTGTTATTATTTCTATTTCGACACATTTTCAAGACGCACAAATGAATAATTTTGCATTAATTTGCTAAATAATAACTGTATTATCCCAGTTTTTCTATTAATCAGAATCCGAAATACTTTAATAATCCCAGAGGGAAATTATTTTTGTTACTGGCTCCATAAATAAAACAACGGCATATACATATATACATGTCTGAACATATATATATACACAAAATTCCTCATATAATATTGATAGATATATACATGAAAAACTATATGTAATTAAATATGGATTTCTCTGTGTGGGCTTCTTCCCACCGTCCAAAAACATAAATATTAGGTCTATTAATGGCTCCAAATGTAAGTTTGTTTGTGTGGTTGTGTGTCTCTGTGTGACCCTTTGATGGAGCAATAAACCAAATGAATGGCTGATAGAGCTTGAAAGCAACTATTTGGTATGACTATTTTAATTCATTTAAAATTAATTAAAATAATTAACTAACCCTAACCCTAAACAGCCCAACTTTAGTTTGATAAAGTTTAAAGAATTTTGTGTTTTAATATTCAGAAACAGGACAAACTAAGAATTTTATTTGGACGTAAACGGCCTTTTGCTATTTTTCCTCTGTTAAATCCTATCATAAATCTGTCTAATTTTGTTATATTTAGTATTTTTACTTATATAAATTGTGGGAAATTCTTTAAAAATCAAAGATTTAATCCCACCACAAATGCTCTCTTTGTCAAAAAATGCTCTATTAATGTCGTTGTCACCCTTCTATTTTGGAAATAAAAAAAGTTGGAAGGCATCCTCCAAGAGATATTTCACCCACTGGGACCAACCTTTAAACCAAAGGTCAGTTTTAGTTCATAAGACACCGGTGACCTTTGAAACCCTCTGGAGCTCCTGTTCTACTAAAACAGGCCAAAGGATTCTGGAGAATGAAACGATTAGTCAAGTCAAGTCAAATTTTATTTATAGAGCACATTTAAAA